CAGAGACAGCTTTCTTTAGAGCCTGGTCTCAATTGGTGCTAGACCAGATGACGCCAGACATGAATCCTTGTAAAAAAAGGTTTCAGTTTTGTTGCCAGAAAAAAAAGGGGGGAAACCCTATTATTATATTTTGGTACTGGCAAAGGAGGTCCAATGATGAACTATGCCACTTTTTACGATAACATTTCAAAAACCCCAAATGGGTTTCCTGATCAAACAAGGATGGGAAGGGATTCCTCTGAAGTCCATGGATCTGAGCTGATGGCTAACATTCTACATTCCTATGACGGGACAAAGTAATTCCATGAGACCACTCTTGACTTCCCACACACAGGTACTCATATTCTTAGCTCTTTCGGTAAAGTCACGTTGAAGGGAAACAATAAAATAATAAAATATATATAAAACAAGAAAATTCTCACGACGTTATTATTTTGTTTCCCTTCAACGTGACTTTACCGAAAGAGCTAAGAATATGAATTACTGCAGTCACGAAAGCTTTAAGTCAGGTACTCATGTTACGTTAGCTCAGTTTCTTGAGCAGCCAGCGACCTGCTCTCCCTCCGATGGCGATCAGAAACTCGCCACCTGCTTAGAGGTTGTGCACTCTAGCCACTAGACCACCTGGCTGGATATATATTTTTACCATCCTATTTATTCAAATCATTAGGGGGGGGGTGCTGCTGTGGTGTAATGGTTAACACACCAGACTTGCAATCCGGAAGTCACCAGTTACATCTCATTCCACTGGTTCGATGGAATGTTATAAAACATGCTTTAAATATATAAACTACACAGAAATGTAGACTTAAAGCTTTCGTGACTGCAGGAAATCATATTCTATGGGTTTTTCTGTAAAGTCACATAGATAGGTTAAAAAATAATAACAAAAAACTGCAGTGTTTTGTTATTTTATTTTTATTTGAAACTATCTACGTGACTTTACCAAAAGACCCAAAGAATATACAGAAATGTATCAATCTACTGCTGCATGAATGCCTCTCCACACCGTACTGTTATGAGGGGCTGTTTGACTGTACTTCACCACACTGTTAAGTGTATAATTGGTGAAGGGGCAGGGGAACCCTGGAATGCTTCCGATATCATTCGACGATGAGGGTAGCAATGGCCAGGAATCAAATTCAGTTTCCTAGGTTTCGAATCCAGTGAGCGATAGCGAAAGGGAAAAAAGAGAAACAATTTATGTTGAACTTATTTCGCACAATGTTTCCAACCGTGATAATTGAAGGTGCAAGGGAAGGACAACAAACTAAACACAAAAAGCATTTCTAAATAAATAACAAATTTAATATAGATTCAAGAGTGCACAGCTCCAGTGGTTTCCTAACATCGGAAGGAAGAGCGTTCTAGATGCCCGCAGAAGTTCACCATATTGTTTGGAAAAACAAAACAAAAAATAAAAACGTATTGAATCGATAAGTGATTCTGAACCGTGACGATGAATCAACTTTCTGGCAGGAGCGACATGGCGGTGAAGCATGGCATGCCTACTCATTTGCATTCACTCCCATTTGAGAATCACTACCACAGCCTTCTCTGCACCAACACCTTTCGCAACGGAATCTGCTCATAGATTGTATTATTTCGTCTACGTGTACAACAATTTGACAAGAGGTTCAAAACTGACCCTCTTTCAAAACCCTGTACAACATTTGGTACATTTTAAGCACACAATGTCAATATACTCAATTTGTCGTGCGTTCGTTTACGAATTCACTCCAGGGCAATACGTTATCAATTGTCTTTTTTTAAATGTTCATCATTCTAAGTTCATGCGTGCTTCTGCCTGTGTGCAGTGATTTGTTCAGCTGCTCTCTTTAAATTCATTGGCACGTGAGCGCTTGTATACCAGTGTGAGGCACAATATCAAGTATTAAATAATAAGGATGATAGCTAGAGAAGGCATTTTGACAGAACTTGACAAACACGCTGTAATGTAACAAAATATATGAATGGATTGATTCATTTTAAAAAAAAAACTTTCAAAAACATGTTCCGGCAGGCACCAGTGTCGCAGTTGATGCGGCTGCGAGACACTGAGGGGGCGGTGCCTCTTTTGGCACCCATAGAGACATGCCTCGCCCACGCACCCCACAAAACACACACGGTGCAACCCACAGCATTATGACACATGCAGGGGAACGCACTCAAAGGGCGTTAAAACTTGTACAAAGTTCAAATTGTTCACCATCACACTATAGTGGCGTACTTGTGGTACGTGCCTTTTACTTTGTTCATCTTTATCATGAGCCCCACGCTGCAGCCTTTTTAATTAAGTCCTTCTGTTATTCTGTAGGACATGACCAATTTTTTTGTGAAAATGATTGTTTTTCGCTTAACAACTGTGGATATGTGTAGGTGGAGCACAACTGGAAAACACATCAGAGAGCACCAGTGACGTGCGGTGAGGTCAATGGCTGGGGAGGCAATGGCTAGTGTCAGCCAGATTCACACACTGAGGAAGGCGTGGCCTCACGGAGGGGGGCGTGTCCTCACGGAGGGGGCGTGGCCTCACGGAGGGGGCGTGTCCTCACGGAGGGGGCATGGCCTCACGGAGGGGGCGTGGCCTCACTGAGTGAGGCAGATGTGATAGTTGCCTCCCCTGGTGCTTTTTCATTGCAGTTTCATGACGAGACCAGCAAGCCTTAAAATCTTTATACACATACGTGAAATAAGTTACCTGGAGAATGGAAGGCGAGAACATGAAATGAAGGGGTCTACAAACATCACATTGGTGACATACTGAGATAGTCACAGGCACGCGCTTATTGCCCGCGCTCCATACAGTTACTGAGGTGTTGCGCAATCAGAGGGGAGGCTGAGCTCGTCGCTGCCTCACCTCTCGTCTCTTCCTCTATTTGCAGCGGAGCTCCGCAAATTTGGCGATTTTGACTACAAAAATGATTGGAATCGTACAGAAATGACATTTATAACACAGATACGTGGGAAAATCTTAATATTTATTTAATTTGACTGTTCTTTTTTTTTACTTTTCGTAACAGCTATTTTCATTGGAGATGACAGGTGAGGCTCTGCCTCCCCTGCCTCCCCCGACCGCACGCCCCTGGAGTGCACGTATCTATTCTTAGGGCAGCTATTGGAAGGTAGACCGCAGTCAAAAGTTACAATGAAATGGCATACAGGAGCAGCGTGGAGTGATTTTTTTTTTACTGAACTTCACAATGAAAGGAGTTATGAAAAAAATTGCCAAAAGGATAACTTTTTTTTTAATCAGAAACATGCTATGGACACAGACGAGGAATACGGTCCGAAGGCTGAAAAGTGAACAAGAAGCGTGGAGAGGTGCATGCCTGTAATTACACTGTTAAAACAAATAAGAGGAGAGAACTTACCCATTGTAAAGACACAAACAGTGACCGCTAACAAAATGTAAGTGAGCGTATGCAGAGCAGGTGGTGGTGGAGACTAACGGAGGAGTGGCAGTTAAAAAAGGAAGCACCCTGCCCAAGAGTAAAGCCACTGCCGAGATGGAGTGGTGAAATCAGCTCTTACGCTCGAGACATAAAGATTGTTGCATTGCGGGACCGTGAGGCATGGTGACGGTATGTGGATCATGCACCCTACTAGTACTGTTTTGGCAAACAACATAATAGTCTGCCCCTCTCCAGAAGAATGTGGAATTTCCACCACTTAACCAGAACCACCGAGTGGCGAGCAACGCCTTGATCTCATTTCATTAGGGAGACATTGTGACTTCTAACCAATTAATGCACTGTACATGAAGAGTGCTACAAGGTGTGAGCCTGATTTAAACAAAGGTATTTCTTGCAAGGGAGACCCGGGGGAAACAGCGAGAATAAAAAAAACAAATCTTCATGATTATCTCCATATATATAAAAGGTAAAGTTGTGAATGTGTGTCTGTTCAAAATGTTTAGCGTACTTCACGACATGCAACAAAATGGAAATTTGCCATGTGGGTACTTTCCAGATTGTACATCATGCAAAAATTATAAAAATACACTTTTTTTTAGGGGGGGGAGCTCAATAATGCATATATATTTTGCACGGCAAGTGAGCTGTGACGTCAAATCTGTCACGTCACCCGCGCGTGTGGAAGCGTAACGCATTGTAGTGTAGTGGTTAACGCGCTGTGTATGTGTCTGTGTGTCTGTGTGTGTGTGTCTGTGTGTTTCTGTCTGTGTGTGTCTGTCTGTGTGTGTCTGTGTGTGTCTGTCTGTGTGTGTCTGTCTGTGTGTGTCTGTCTGTGTGTGTCTGTGTGTGTGTCTGTGTGTGTGTTTGTGTGTGTCTGTCTGTGTGTCTGTCTGTGTGTGTCTGTGTGTGTGTCTGTGTGTGTGTCTGTGTGTGTGTGTGTCTGTGTGGAAGCGTAACGCATTGTAGTGTAGTGGTTAGCGCGCTGCGCTACGAACCCGGTGATCCGAGTTCGATTCCCGCTCATGGCCACCACCAGTGACGATTACTTTAACCGCTCCTGGGCCTCCCTTAGGTCGACTCAGCCTCAAACGACTAGCTGCTGTGGTGTGTGAACATCGCAACTGGGGAGACAAAGGCGGCCGGGCGTGGTGGATCCAAGTCCCGGGCGAAACCGGGTAGTACAGCTAGTTCAGTATAAAATAAACACTCATGTATTGCTGCGCGACCCAGCAGTATGTTTGCGACAAGCTTGACTGCCGATGAAGACCCAAAAAGCTTGAAACTGGTCCAGGATGTGCAGTTTAAAAAAATACATTCTGGAACACATTGTTCTTGAATGCAAATAGGGTAACAGAATAAAACAAAATATGTAATTGAATGTGGAGAGACAAACCAAGACGTGTTTTCTACATTTTCCGACAATTAATAATTACAATCAGGCTCGCAAAGGAAGAAAACAACTATAACAATTAACATGTTTAATAAATACATACAGCAATGCAGCGTTGTACTACTATACGTAATGTCCACCATGTAACGTACACGTAAATAAAAAAAAGTGAACGCACAAAAAGCTCGCCTTACCGTAGAGTCCTGTGTATTGTCGCAGATGTTATTGTGTATCGCCAATGCAACGCACACGTAACTGTCTATGCTATTGCAGCAGATACCTTGGATGTATATAGGAAGCACAGACTGAAACGAGATAAGCTACATCACAATGCGAAAGGCCAAGTCCCTGACTAAGCGCTGGCTGTTTTATAGCGTTCGCCCAATGCGCAAAAGTGTCACAGCTATCACCCTGAGCAGTTAATCCACGCGCGCCCATCCAAGTTCAAGATCACGGCTATTTAAAGTTAGGAGCATTGAGCCAATGCAGCGCAGTCCTGTGTATTATGCGCTCAACACAAACACGGAATAATTGCATCGTTCCGCAATACTGTGGACTGCATCAACAGTTCTAAATGACATTACCGTATTCGTTGTTTAAACAAAAAAAACGTGTACATGTTTTGTCTGCTCCACCGCAATTTATAAAATGTGTATATATCGTTCATATTTAATTAATCAGGCTTCATCTATTGTTAAAACGAAAAGCAATAACTAAGCTATGGCCAGACAGCTTATTAATAGCATTACGCTATGATAATTAGACACTTGGAGCAGGATTCACGCTCAAGGGCAATTAAGGCAATTCAAGCCACTTGTGCTTTTTGGTTGCGTGTGCATTTCATTAGCCCAATTTACACCTGGAAATCTGTCACAAATTGAATGTGGTTTCACATGCATGTGTACCGCTACGAGTGGAACAATGAATGCCTTCAGAAAATAATACTTTACAGGATTATATTTTGGTGTGGGGGGGGGGCGATCAGTCCAGGCCGCGGCTAACATCAGTGGCGAGTGGTATCTGAAGCAGTCCACACTGACCAGTGTGGTGAAGTATGGTCAACCCCCCCCCCCCCCATTACCGACATGTGGAGTGAAATGGCCTTCATCCAGCAGCGAGTTGACAGGAGTGTAAAATATAAAAATATATATTGTTTAATCATTCACATATTAATACGCGTCTGCCAAAAATTAAATAAACCTTGCATATAAGACAGCTCTTTGCAGGATGTAAAGCACTGTACAGCAAAATGTGAAAGAGGTGTACGGTTAGCGGGGCCCCGACTAGCCAGATTTTGGCATTAAAAATATATACAAATGAAATCCCAAAAAAGTTAATATAATAGAATAATGTACGTACAATATACCTTACAATGTTACGTGGTACATAACGTACGAATAAAATCCACGAGAAAGCACTGCGTTGTGTGTGGTGGATATTAAAAAAATGAAGTTAAAAGTATGATAAATGTACTTGTGGCAATACGTCTGTACAATAACACACACTAGTTCATTGACAGTCGTACAAAGACAAAGACCCCCCAAACTGTTTGGGGGAAATGATGTTAGCGAGCACCTATGAAGGGCCAGCATGGTGCATAAGGGTGGTGTGTGGCCAACACCACGCCCGGCCGCCTTTGTCTTCCCAGTGACGATATTTACATATCATACCAGGTACTTATTTGAGGTCGAGTCGACCTAGGGGGAGGCCTCGGACCGGTTCAGATAATCGTCACTGGTGTTGGCCACGAGCGGGAATCAAACTCGACTCGCCGTGTTCGTAGTGCAGTGCGCTCACTGCCACGCTACGTATATAGTAACGGAGGGATGCTATTTTGTAGTTTTTACATTGATTTTAATTCGTTTTACAGCTATCTGGACTTTGACAGCGAGTGAGGCTTTGCTGTCCTGTACAGGGTGGTCCAGGTGCCTTGTGACCCCCATTTAATTATATGAAACAAAATAATTAAAGGTTTATTTAAAACACGCCCAGTTCAAACCTTTAAAACAGCCTGCCTCAGCAGCTTTCACCGCTATTGCTTTTTCTCCTGATGACGATTGCTTGTGTTGTCATCGAAACGTCGTGGCTTTTTGTTATTTTCTTTGAACCTATCGACGTGACTTTTCCGAAAGACCCAAGAACATGATTAGGAAAAATATGTCAGCGTATTCTTTGGGTCTTTCGGTAAAGTCACGTAGATAGGTTCAAAGAAAATAACAAAAAAAACTACGTTTCGATCGCAACACGTTCGTCTTTGACGTCGCCCTCCGATCTTACATTAACATGTTAATCTGTCACATTAACATGCTAATCTGTCACATTAACATGCTAATCTGTCGCATTAACATAACTAGCCCCGCCCACTTTGTTCATGACCCTTGGGCTACACCCATTCGAAACCTCAGCAGCTTTACTCTTTTCGATTTAAAGCTTTCGTGACTGCAACTCCGCCCACACAGCTTCATAGACGCGGTCCTTGCATGACAGCGTTCATTCAAGCTCTGTCTTCCGGACAGACCTGTCTCTTCACCTGAAGAAGGCCACTTGTGTTGTGGCCGAAACGTCGTGAGCATTTTATTGTCTTATTTTATTATGTTATTCCCATTCTACGTGACTTTACCGAAAGAACCAAGAAGCTTTACTCTTGTTTCCTCCTGATGACGATCGCTTGTGTTGTGATCGAAACGTCCTAGTTTTTGTTATTTATTTTCTTTCAACCTATCTACGTGACTTTACCGAAATACCCAAAGAATATGAATTCCTGCACTCACGAAAGCTTTAAGTCAAGATTAAATATGTTAGCGGTAAATTAATTGTGGGGGCGGTGTCACAAGACATCTGGACCACCCTGTACACAAACAAAGAAAACGAATCTCCATCCTAACCGCACTCACGCATGGTTCCAGTGCCATGTTCCTGTTTACGTCACATTCAGCTGCGCCAGGTATTCACAACCATTGTATTTTAAGACTTCTTAGGTTTCGTGTAGAACATGCCAACAAGTGCTCTCTTACTGCTGTCAAAAAAAAAAACATGATGTCATGAATTGTACAGTGGGAAAAACATTGAGAAAAACATTGTGGAAACTGTTGACATGATACAACACTTAAACACAAATGTTGCTAAACTGTGTGAAACATTTACTTTGCCCTTTATAGTAAACATGCTTTTCTTTTCACGTTCAAGTTACTGGAATGGCAGTTGCCCGCAATTCTACGAAATGCAAATGACAATGAAAATATTACTGTACGCAACGTGGATATCCTGAAAGATAAGATTTGGATGCAATTCGACAAATTGCATACAACGTGAAAAAAAATCGATTCTCCGATGCTCAATTTCAGGCATGTATGGTAAACAAAGAAATCAATAACTGCATTAATACACGTGAATTGTTAAGAGCCGAGGGACATAGGCAAGTCTCTGAGGGTACAACACCTCCCATTTGGTGGTTAACACGCGGTAATTAGACACTGCATAATGATTCGCCCACCCCCCTTCCCACGTGCTGCCCCCCGACAAATTGTAGCAAGTCAAGGGCACGATTTGATAAAAAAAGAAAGCAATTCTTGTCTCCTCTTTAACTCTTTTATAGTTTTGCTTGCTCCATTGGCCTATATTATGTAACATTCGCATATCATGTCCATATCATATTTCCAGAATCAAAAATAACTCGGCCCTTAAACAAGTGATTCGATGCATATACAGCACCGTGAGCTTGCGAATATTAATCGAGAGAAATACATTTATCGTTACACCCCTAAAGTCTTGCTCCTCATTTAATACCGAACGATATCTGTCGCTGATGAGGATTTTTTTTAAAAGTGTGTACATGTATAAAATTGTAAGCACTCTTCTGATGGTAAAGTGAGTGCACTAAAATGCATGCTCAGTCCTTTGAAGTCTGTGCTATGTCTTTGTTGTGTATTTTTATTTCCATGGCTGTCAAGGTCAATAGCACAGCGAACGCCTTTGATTCATAGCAACAGCCGCCATTCACCACTAAATGGTGGTGACGTCACCACAGCGCTTGTGCCAGGCTAGGTGCACTCTGAGGCTGCGTTAAGTATAAAAGTCGTGCTGACAAGAGGTCACGGGACAGACCCAGGCGTTATGGGTTGACTGCCTGCGATGACTGGCAGATGCACCACCTGTGCTCCATACTGTGCCATCTTGATGCGTGTTAGCTGCCCGGCGCTCTGGTCGTTGTTGTGAGCGTCACTTCTCTGCTATCCGCTGTTGCTGGAGGATGACTGCCTCAAACTGCCCAGTAGCATCCTTCAAGTGCCCCCTCCACAGAGACGGATCTTGACACTTCTGGTAGCAGTATCAGCAGGGCCACTCAGCTCTACATCCTGCTGTACCACATCAACCCATCTCTTCTTTAGTCCGTGCCACACCCATTTAGCACCCCCTCCCCCGCCTCTCTGTCTTGCCAAACAGAAGCTGCATGGGCATAATCACTCTGACTTGGTATGGGAACTCCTCCACTCTCTCCACAATTGCCCCATCAGTCAGAACCAATGAGGCTCAGCAGAAGAGTTATCCAACTCCTCAGAGCGAGCAGCAAATACGAGATCATTAACATACATAACATGCTTGACCAATAGGAAGCCATCCCTTGACCTCACCCGGGCATTGATCAGTTTTCCACTGTATCTGTAACAGATAGAAATTCCTCTAGTACAGCCATGGAAGCTTCTCAAACTATGTGGTCAAGAAAGGTTGTTAATAATGTAGGAGCCAGAGGACATCCGTCTCACCTAAAGGTGAACAGGGAATGGTTCCGACTCCCAGCCATGCAACCTGCTCACCATCATGAAGGTCCTTAATTATTGTGAGCAGTGGTTCATGGTTCCCGAAAGCAATGAGAATAACCCAGAGCCCTGGCTTATTGATGGTATCAGAGGCCTTGATCAGGTAAATAAAGCATAGATGTAGGTCCTTTTGAAATTCCCTACACATCTGCTGTAGCAGACATACAGGGAATATGGCATCTGTGCAGGATGGACCAGTTCTGAAGCCACATCAAGCCTCTGCAAGCCATACCTTCTTTCCTAGTCTGGTAAAACAACTCTTACATCCTCAGTGGTTGCCAGTCGGTTACACTGTGGTGTACTGTGAGAAATGCCATTGAGGAGAAGTCTAATAGTAATCCGCTGTTACCCTCATGGTGTGATTGCAGCCACCACAGTAGCCAACAAGGACTCTGTATTGGTGCAAGGGGCTTGTAACATCTCCATCTTGAATTAAATTACCAAATTACCATGGACAAAATACCATAATCTTGTTCTGGAGGGTCTGGCATCTGAGATGTTTACCGACAAACCCCCCCCCCCCACCCCCCACGAGATTTTTTCCATAAAAAGCAGAAAACCACTACGAGTACCCACGTGGAAGTTCAAACACACTGCGGATAAAAGGCTGCAACTCCTCTGTCGGTAGCTCGACCAACACAACCTGAACGTCTGTGGAATAGAAGAGGTCTGGTGGGCTGGTTCTGG